ATTTTTGTTTAATTTTTGTTTTTTTATATGTATTTTGTATACATCAATTATTATTATGTTGCTATAAAACCTATACATTTTATAATTTATGTTTAACTAGATTTTTTAGTTTATCATTTTCTTTAAAATTTTAAATGTGTACATTTATTTATCGTCATGTCTAAAAAAGACATTTTTCTAAATATTACTAATCATTGTTCTTTATAGAAAAAGTTTTATAAAAACATTCATATGTTTGGTAAAAAATAGATAAAGATTCGAATCCACATGATGTGGTTTGATGACAAGTTTTGAAAGTCATATCGTATATTATGACAAGTTTGAGAGAAAATTTTCTATCATTTAGAAATTCAAGTGAGACATATTTTACATTTAATATATTAAGATATTTTGTTTAAGCATGATTAATTATATATGTTTTGTTTAGGATGACAATCCAAGTCAAAGTTACGAAAATGAAGATATACCAGAATTCTCCACTGATAAGGTATCATATCTAATTTTTATAGATAATTATATAAATTTTGTATTTTTATAGTAGAATAATTTTGTATATACCCCTTTATAATTATTTATTTAAATTTTTATCAGTATAATTTTAACAAAATTTAGAATACCCATAACAAAATTTGGAATACCCATAACACCCCTACTTTTATTTTTTCTTCCAATTCGTTGTGAAAACTTTAACCAACATGTATAAACAAAGTGTTTGTCAAACACCCACCATGGTTATCTATTACGAACATGAAAATCTACAAACGTAAGCTAAACTTTCTCATAAAAAATCATATGAAATGAGGATCTGATTTCCCACTCATCTTTATTTTATTATAGAAAATGGGTAATTGATTTTATTTACTTTCGATCAAGATTATTTGATTTTGGTTTTCTCTTATTTCTTATTTTTTGATTGAGGGTCTTCTCTGTGTATTATTGTTTGGAGAAAGCTATACTTTTATTTTTAATTATTGGAGAAGCTATAGTTCTATTTATAATTATTCATTCACACGAAGCTTGTAATACTCTAGCATTTGTAATAAAGAATTTGAGTTTACTCATGTTTCGATATATGCTTGTTCTAAGACATCGATATAACATTAGCTTGTTCAAAAATTTGATTACTTATATTTCGATATATCCTCTGGATATATTGTATATAGAATTTGAGCTGCCTAAATCTATTGGGTTGTTCTCTAGAAATTGTGGTTGCCACGTGCGTAATTGTTATGGATTACCAAGTGTGCATGAACAAGCACAGCATTCTAGTAATAGTCAACTTATTCCACTTAGTTCGATTGATATATTTTTGAGAAAACTTGAGATCTCTCCATGCTTTCCTATCATATTGATTTTGACGATGAACTGCAAAAGGTTAATGAAGCATATCAAAAGTAGTCAAAATCCGGAAAATGCACTCTTTATAAGAAGTTTAAGGAGTTTTTTACACTGTCAACAACACCACTTTTTGAATCTACTATTCACAATTCCAATCGTGGTCACCCCTCTCTGAAGGATAAGTAGTTAGTTAAAACCACTGTTGATCCACCTCCCCAACAACCACTTAGGCGAAGTTTTTCGAACACAGCTAAATTTGTCGATCCACAAGTTTTTGGGTACAAGAACTAGCAAGACATAGTACCCACTTCGAGAATAAATTACTTCCATACATTAATCAATTTCAAAAGTTTTTTCACCCTTGCATCAGGAAAATTCAAGATGTAAAAGGATATGGAAATTATGGTTTTAGGGCGATAACTGCTTGCATCGATAATAATGAAAATGACTGGACCACAGTTTGGTGTAACTTGATTAGAGAGTTGAACACACATAAAGAATAATATGAAGTCATGTTTGGAATCGAATATTTGTCTAACATGTATTACCCGTTGATTTTTTTTGGTTGGACATGAATGCACCTATGCAATTTTGGTTAACTAATGAAATGGGTATCATAGTTGCTTCAAAATATAATATGATGTTACACATTTTTAGCATGCAGGGCAGCACGACATACTTACCACTTCAGGCATATCCGCCAAACTGGATCAACCCACGTATATTGCAATTGAGTTTGTTAATGGTGGCCATTGGGTAAAAGTTACATTGAATGAATGGTATATGATGCCTCTGATTACCCCTATGTGTAATTATTTCAAGTATGATCATGCATCTTGATGAGCTATTCCGTTTGAAAGACAAATACATATGTACATGGATCATTTTAGTAATAATTGTAACTATAATAAAGTTATAATGGATGATTGATGAATCATCAATTGTTTATGTGTGTAATATTCTTAAATATTTGAATTAAATTATGTATTTATAATTACATTAGCAATAAAATCATTAACAAACGTAAAAAAGATTAAGAAAACATATTTGAACAAGACATCAAAAAAATTAAAAATATTAAACAATATATTTAAATAATATATATATATATATATATATATATATATATATATATATATATATATAATAAAAATTTTAATTTAAGTTATGTTAAAATAAAAAAAAAATAAACATAATCATTATACTTATTATACTTTTCTTTACTAATTTTTTAAAAGAAAAAACATCATAAATGGTCCCTGTGGTTATCTAAAATCTGAAGTTTAGTCTCCGTGGTTTAAAAACCTCATAGATGGTCCATGTGTTTTCGAAACTTTTGATGTTTGGTCATTTTTGTTAACTCCGTTAAGTTTGTCCGTTAATTGGAGGGTATTTTCATCATTTCACCACCACGGGGACCATTTATGATGTTCTCTCTCTCTCTCTCTCTCTCAACACCATGGTTTTGTCTTCATCTTTCTCTCCTCAACTACTTTTTCCGCCCTTCTAAATTCAACCTGTCAATCAAGAAAAGAAAAAGGGGAAACTTAAAATGGATTGTTTTTCAATCTCAACATTGATATCGATTTGAAGTTGTTTAAGAACCAAGATATGCCCCTTTCTCCCCTTTCACGCATGTCCAATAACAAAGATGATCCTCTAAGAAAAGTGAAGAATATATGAACCGGGTCTTCTCCACCTCTGTCGGAAACCACCAGACCTTAACTAACCAACCTACCATAATCAGACCTGCAATTTGTGTTCATGGTGAAGGTGGGTCACTACTAGAAAAACAGCCTTTTACGACGCGCAAATGCGTGTCAAGAAAGGCCTTGTCATAACGAGAGATGACACGCTTTTGCGCGTCGTCTATAGACGACGCGCATTTACGACACGCATTTATGACACGCAATACGTATCATTGAAGCCGCTGTCAAGAAAGGCTATGTCATAAATGAAGATGACACACATTTTTACGTATCGTAACTTTAATTTTTTAATAAAAAAATTATTTATATGTTTATTAATTTTCAATTTATATTTGCATTTCATGTCTCATAATAGAAAATAAAATATCCTATACAAAAAATACAATACATTGCACAGAAATTAATGTCATACAAATAATCAAATGTGAAAGCGATGAAAGTCATCAACAAATGTGACAGCGATGTAATACATTTTTTAGATAATTAACTACATTATTAGCCAAATTTCCTAAAATACCAACATACTTTTCTATGAAAAGCATTAACACTAATCTTTTCCATCAAAAACTTCAAAACCTGCATAATTAAATTAATGTTTAATCAGCTACAAGTCAATAAGATACGTTTAAGCAAAAGAGCTTCATAATATTAAGACTTTACTTACCACTGTTGTTAATACATTGAAAGAAGCACCTCTTCTGCTAGCTTTGTGAAATTGGTACCATATTCCTCTAGAGTTGGCATCTTGTTTCCAGAGCTCCCACCACCAACTCCAGCACCCACAGTAAACTATGTTTAGATTCCATAAATAAACTATGTTGATAAACTAATTCCTGTATCATCATCAACATCACTATCTGATTATATTTTTTGACAAACTGACTACTGTTATCAATTGAAAAGTAAAAAAAGTTACCAATGATAGTGAATACAGATAGCAAAGAAAAACCAATGTTAGATTCCATAAATAAATTAGGCTGTAAAAACACCACAAAGGATGTAAATTATTCCATTCTGTTTCGTGTTTCATTGCAAATCAACGAAATTCCCTTCATATTATTCCATGTTCACAATTCCTGAAAGGTACTTGATTCCATTCTTTTTTTATTAAAAGAACAAAATACACCATTATTGGAATAATAATAAAAAAAAATCCCCATAACTGGTAGAAGACAAAAATAGCCCATAATTGCAATAAACAAAAATGCAAAAACAGAAAGATGATACCATATCCTAAGTTAAATGCAAAAAGGGCATAAATAGAACTAGGTTATAACCTGTTGCCTTTTGGGACCATAATATGAAGAATCAGGGTAAATTTTACCACTATCTGGTGCCAACCATGGTGAATCATGTGGACCCATAATTCTGAAATGTTTTCCTTCCTTTACATCACAAAAATGAGGACCCTGGTCTTGTTATATCATTCATATACATAGGCCATAGTCAAAACAGGATAAAATATGCAATATATTTTTTACACCCACAAAAGCTCCTTTCGTGTTTTCCATTTTTTATTTTAATATTGTTAAAAGGGAACTGCTGATGCCACTTACCCACAGACTCTTACAGGGTTTAGCCTGCTAATAAGATAAATCCTAGACTCAGAGCTAATAACACAGAGAAAAAGGTGAGCTTATATACCTATAAAACACTATACATCATCTTCACAACAAACATGGAACCACTATAACCGGTCAACAGATTCATGCACATTTGAGAGGTTAAAACATCTTAGAACAGGGGCATTATGGTCACATAAATGCTACCATTTATATACAGTTTCACGGGTAGTGTCCTATACAACTCAGCAATCCCCTGATGATGGTGGGTTGAACCTTTTTGCAGGTGCATCAAGTTTCCGATCAAGTTCAGGCGTACCAGGGACAACAGTGTCCAGAAAATTTAGATCAGGGGTGTTATGGTCATTTACCGGTTTTCCATGTTCAACAACTAAGTCAGCTTCTTCATGGAGATTGCTATCCAGCCCTGCAGTAGGCTTCTTTTCATGCCACTGAACATGATCAAAAGACTTTTATCCAATCAGCAGTTATCCGTACAATCTTGACAAACCTACCTTAAATTTTATTCCCAGATATACCCTTTCGATTTTTAACTCGGTTCATTACAAAGCAATGTTTTTTGTTCAATCAATAGAGAATTATATGTCCGTTAATTTAATCATGTAGACTGGATAATGAGACTTCCTGATAAATTCCATATAAAATTGCAACGTTTAAACTGACATCTACTATGTGTCAAAAGTCTAAAATACCCTTGGATAAAATAATTATAAATTAACAAGAGCTGCAAACCTTTTCTTACAATAGTGTTCTTCGACGTTCTTTGGCTCTACAAATTGCATTTCGTATTCCATGGTTGTTCATGCTCCCTTTTGGCCACAAATCCGCAAGCTTGACAGCATAAAAGAAACATATTTTTTTCCTAAATTAGATAAATCCATTTCCTGGGAGATAAATATTATTTCATTTTATTTAGGAATTATCTCCTAAATTAAGATAGAACCATTTTAGGTTAGGTTTAGGTTTAGATTCCATTGAACTCAAAACCGGTAAAGAGTGTCATTTATGCCAAATTTAGTCAAAAAGCCACTGAAAACTGATAACATGACAATTATGCCCTTCAATTCACTTGTTATATTTAAAAATGACATGATGAAACACTAACATAAGAGGAGTAAGTAAAACATAGCATGAAAACAGATAAGATGACCATCATGCCCTTGAAGAATTGGATGATGTTATATAGGCACAAGGTAATGTGGTAGAGAAGAGAAAAAGAGAAGACTAGCAAGGGTAATGTAGACTATTGTAGTACGTTGTAAATATAAATGTTTTTTAACCAGCTTTTAGTTTAGTTTTTATGTTTGGTAAACTTGACTCTTGAAGCTTTAGATTAGTCTCAGGTAAAAAAAATGAGCATTTTAATCTCGGAGTGTTTGACTATCAGTCAAATGTCATAAATACCCTTCAACAAAGTAACTTTTAATAAAGAAATCGACATACAAAAGAAAGGCAAGAAATAAAAGGGTGGTATTCCCAGAAAACAACTATCTGAATGTAGAATTTTTGTATTTCTGAGGTTTTAATTTCATCCATCGCCTGTTTAATATAACAAGGAAAATGAAGTATATGTCCATTAGTAATTCCAATATAAATAAAGTGTTATAATTCTAAGTTACTAACCCCTTTTCTAGACCATGAAAGGGACAAGATTTCTCCACCATGTCCATGGAACTCATGAACAAGTTTCTCCAAGATTTTGAAGACTTTAGGTGCTAGAATAACAAAAGCCACTTCTGATGATTTTCTGAACCCTTTAATCTTTCGTGATTTTTCTTTATTGACAGGGGCTAATTCGGAAAGATGATTAGTTGAAACATCCGAACCCTAACGCCAACTTCAATATGGATTACTTTTTAAACAAACAAAGAATATGAAGATTAGATTTTGTTGGATAAACTAATTACCCAAAGATTGTATTCCTTATCTACAGATGACAAACAAATCATCCAAAGATGGTATTTTTCCAGATTAATTATTCAATTTTCCGATAAATTCATAATTCGGGTATGGAACATAGCAAATTCCATCATAGTTGCTGCATAATTGAACAAAAATCAGGATGAATACCAATCTAAACAAACAACCATATGAAATCTAACCTGTTTACTCATCAAAATTGAATCAGTTATGAAACTGACCACATACTTTGGGCCACTACTTGCTTTAACAATCACTGTGATAAAAGAAACATAAAACCTCAGAAAGTAACAACATGATAGATTTAATTTAGCATAATACAAAAATTTCAAACCCTGGATAAGATAAACACACAAAAAATTCATCAGACCATAACATATTCTCGAATTTATGCTCAAAATATTAAATGTGAGTATGTGTGTGAGGTGCTATGTGCGACTGCTAACAATGTATCAGAATGGGATCGAGAATCAGAAAAGTAGGGGGAAGGATATCGCACCTAAGAAATCAAACAAGAAGGAATTAAAATAGGGGAGAAGGAACAAAGCATACCTGAGATGCTTAGAGAGTAGAAGTCAGGATCATGGAATGAGGAGGAAATCGCCGTAGAAACATGCATAGTTTTTCAGTTAGGGTTTTACACAAGAGAAGATGAGAAGATCCAAAATCGAAATCAAAGCTATGAATAGAGGAGAAATTAAAGAAATAGAAGAACAAAAACATTAGGAAGAGTGAATAACCAAATCATATCTTAGTTGGGCTAGGGTGTGGAAATTTGAGTAGTCTCCGACGAGGTCACATGAGCCCGAGGTCGCCGGAGGAAAATATCCCTAAGGTCGTTGGAGGAGAAGTGAGCAAAGATGTCGCCTGCGAGGTGAGGCAAGATCATCGATCGATTGTTGCAGAGGCCAGAGAGCACCAAGTGTTTCCGTTCTTGAAAAAAAAAGCCCTAGTCCCTACGATTTTGTGGAATTTAGTAGTACTATCCTTGCTTGTCTTCTTCTTTGCTTCTTAAATCGTAATAACAATCTCTATGAAATTGCAAGTTGGGTAGTAGGTTAGAGAGAGAGAGAGAGAGAGACGAAGACCCTATGCTTCTTTCTTGCTAATTGGAAGAGGAGCGGGTTCTAATTTTTCACATGGAATAGGCGGGGTTTTAATTTTTTGGGATTTCATTTCCCCCTTTCAAGAACGCGCGTTTTGAGTAAAACATAAAGCGACATTCACAGAGGACGCACATTTTAGATAAAGTGCCCTCCGTGTTTTTTTTTTTTTTTTACATGAGACACTAATCTAAGGGCATGCAATAATGCATGGCATAGATCCTTAATTTTTTTGAATAGACGATACGTTTTTAATGTCACTCTCTTTTGCGTAACATAAATCAATGAGTGTCATGGTTAGCGCGTCATAAAAGGGTCTTTTTCTTGTAGTGGATGAAGATTTATAATGTTCGTCGAAATCCACCTTACACTACCACCAGCAGATCAAGCAATAGAAATGGAAGAATCTCAATCCAAGCAAGTGAAATATATCAAACCTGGTCAAACTGAAGGCAATAGATCTGAAGAAAACTGTATCCAAATGTTAAGAGGCGTCGGAAACAATGTGTATCTCTTTCATTTTCGACAAAACCCTAGCCTAGGGCGCCGCCAACCGGTATCGGCTCTATAAACCTTAGTAGAGACGGTGGCTTGTGGTTTCTAGCACCACAATCGACAACACACCACCATTTTAAGTCTGGAATTAGAAGGAACAAGAACGAGATACACACGACATTCATATTGTAACGACCCAATTTTTACGTCCGAAAATTTCATTTTAAAATATTACTTTAGAAAACATTAATAAATAAAAACATTGTTTGATCACACCATAACACATCGTAACCATGTTCTAAAAGGTCAAACCATACATCCCATCAAAATATCAGAGTACAATCCCAGTAAATCTCGTAAATGCGGAAACCGAAGAGTGTGTGTATGACGTGTCGCTACCGCGCCGGCTCCTTCCCCTTCGATGCAGAGGTACCTGAAAACAAAACTGTAAACGTAAGCACAAAGCTTAGTGAGTTCCCCCAACGTACCACATACCATACAATCACATAACATACGCACTGCCAGGCTATTCTGGGGTGCCGACCTACCCATACGGCCATTTTGGGGTGCTGTCTTACCCGTGTCAAGCCATTCTGGGGTGCTGACTACCCATGTCAAGCCATTCTGGGGTGCTGACTACCCATCGGTCCTAACAACCGATCCTCGGGGACTGGTCCCCTTCCGCTACCTCTATTGCATAACATAATAGACCAACATACAAGCATACCATCACATACAGTCAGATAATTCTGGGGTGTCTGACTACCCAGCGGTCCTAACAACCGAACTCTACTACTATTGCATATAACAGGTAAATAGCAAACCTAGACGATATCACAAAGACAATCATCTATCATACATCTCCTACTGGTGGGCCGGCCGTGTGGCCTTAGACCCACTACTACTGGAAGGTAACTCACCTCAAAGTAGCTGCTGAACTGATCGGGAACTAACTGACTGCTGCTGCTCCGGGAGTCCTCCGGCTGCAATTCCCACAACATACTCAATCAAACACTGCTAACTGTCCTTTAGGTAAAATGACCATTTTACCCCTGGTCTAGCTCTAAGCCAATGCTAGAGTCAACTTTCAGTTGACCCGACTCGCCGAGTGGATCACCACTCGCCGAGTCCCTAGCAAACCATTGTCCTGGGTCCCTGGTTCTACTCGTCGAGTCGGGCTATGACTCGACGAGTTCACCTTCTAACTGTCATTCAACTCCTTCATCCTACTCGCCGAGTTGTATGAACAACTCGTCGAGTTCATCTTCATCCGAAGAACACTTTATGCTAAGACTCGCCGAGTTGTATGAACAACTCGCCGAGTCTGTTCTTGATCTATGAAGATTGCCTTGGACTCGCCGAGTCAGGGCATTGACTCGCCGAGTCCTAACATGGGTGAGTTCAGCTCCCAACTCACCGAGTCATCCCCTGTGACTCACGGCTCAACTCGACACATCATGAAGGGACCAAATCGGTGACTCGCGACCAGACTCGCCGAGTCGTCGCCATGCATCCACCAAATACACAGATTTACTCGATTTCAGTCCATGCCATTCATAGATCTGGACTTCTAGGACCCAAATCACACGTAAAGTTTCCAACTTTACGTGTGGATATTCACTAATGTGGATTTTAGGGTGCAAAATGCCTCAAAAGGGTAGATCTAGGATGAACAAGCCACATGGGGCCATAAAGCTCACAGATCTGAGCTCCTGGAGCTCAATCTTGCCTAGATCTAAAGGTTAATCCACTTATTACGAAACATTAAGCACAAACAAGCTTGAAGAATTGCTCAAGAGTGTCCCAAATGAAATCCTAAGCGTAGAAACAGGGGAAAACGAGATATACCTCAAGGAAAATGTTGAAATGACACAAGGATGACTGATCTCCTTCTCCTCTTCTTGATCTACTCCTCTTTCTCCTCAAAACCTTCAAGAACACACCAAGAACACTTCAACCTCTCAAGGAAATAAGGGAAAACGATGTTGGGGGAGTTCTGGGGGTGAATGGGGACGAGTTGGGGCGGAATGAGGGTTTAAATAGGGTGCAAACCCTTGAAACTTAGGGTTTCATCCAGCAGCGGTGACTCGCCGAGTCCAGGATATGGACTCGCCGAGTCGCCCACTTAAACGTGTCCTGAGTCTCGTCCCTACTCGGCGAGTCGGACCTTATGACTCGCCGAGTCCAAGGCTAAAATAGGGAAATGCTTAAATAAAATTCACATACCGGAAACCAGGTGCTACAAATCTCCCCCACTTATTTTAGACTTCATCCTCGAAGTCTGCTGCCCGGTCCTGAAACGGCTCGGGGTAATGCTCCATCATCTCGTCCATCAATTCCCAAGTCCATTCCGAACCCTTGCGGTGCTGCCATTGCACCTTTACTAGCTCTACCCTCTTGTTTCTCAACGTCTTGGTCTTTCTGTCAAGTATTGCGACTGGGTGCTCAATGTAATTCAAGCTGTCATCAACCTGAATATCCTCCAACGGTACTACTGCTGAATCGTCCACCAGGCACTTCCGCAGCTGCGAAACATGGAAGGTGCTGTGGATCTGACTGAGCTCGGCTGGCAGATCCAGCCTATACGCCACCTTGCCCACCCGGGCTGCAACCCTGAACGGCCCGATGAATCTTGGGCCCAACTTGCCCCGCTTCCTGAATCGAATGACACCTTTCCAAGGTGAGACTTTCAGGAGGACCATATCCCCGACTTGGAACTCCAAGTCGGATCGACGTCTATCGGCGTAGCTTTTCTGCCGACTCTGTGCAGTCTGAAGTCTGCTCCGAACCTGCTGGATCCTCTCGGTCGTCTCTAGCACCACCTCGGTGCTTCCCATGACTCTCTGGCCAACCTCCCCCCAACATATCGGGGTTCTGCACTTCCGCCCATACAACATCTCGAACGGGGGTCGGTCAATACTCGCGTGATAGCTGTTGTTGTAGGAGAACTCAGCCAAAGGAAGATAGGTATCCCAGCTACCACCGAAATCCAGTACACACGCCCGCAACATGTCCTCCAAAGTCTGGATGGTCCGCTCACTCTGACCATCTGTCTGCGGGTGAAAGGCGGTGCTGAAATGCAGACGAGTGCCCAACTCGTCATGAAATTTCTTCCAGAATCTGGAAGTAAAACGCACATCCCTGTCCGAGATTACCGATACTGGCACCCCATGCCGTGCCACAATCTCCCTGATATAGATGTCGGCCAATTTTTCGGCCGATATGCTCTCCTGAATCGGAATAAAGTGAGCACTCTTGGTCAATCTATCCACGATGACCCAAATCGAATCCACTCCCCGTGCGGTCCTGGGAAGCTTTGTGATAAAATCCATCGTGATATCTTCCCATTTCCACAGTGGAATGTCCAACGGCTGCATCTTGCCATGCGGCCTCTGATGTTCGGCCTTGACCTTCCTGCAGGTCAAACACCGCTCGACGTACCATGCCACATCCCGCTTCATGCAAGGCCACCAATAATCCGGACGAAGATCCCTATACATCTTCGTCGCCCCGGGATGAATAGAAAATCGGGACTTGTGCGCCTCCTCCATCAAAATCTGACGCACGCCACCGTGATACGGCACCCACACCCTACGGTGTAATGTCAAAAGTCCTCTGCCATCATAATCAAAGGAGGAAACCTGACCCACCACACGCTCGCTCTTCCGATGCTCCTCCTTGATAGCCTCCTGTTGAGCCTCCCGAATCTGCTCCAACAGGGGAGTCACCACAGTCATCCTCAAACAGACGTCCCTGATCGGCACCGTCTTGCGGCTAAGCGCATCGGCCACCACATTGGCCTTCCCCGGGTGGTAAAGGATCTCGCAATCATAATCCTTCACCACGTCCAACCACCGCCGCTGCCTCATATTCAGATTCGGCTGGTCCATGAGGTACCTCAAACTCTTGTGGTCCGTGTAGATGGTACACCGAACCCCGTAGAGGGCAAAGACCACCGCCCCCAACTCCAAATCGTGCGTCGGGTAATTTGCCTCGTGAGGCTTGAGCTGCCGCGAAGCGT